GACACATGTGGGTGGCCACAGGCCGGTAGCATTCTGTTCAGTGACCAAGAAGTCTTTTAAAGTAATTAAGACAGTCCAAGGGTGGCTGAGATGTTTGAAAAACAGTCGGTTTTCTGTCACCAGAGATGTTTGAGTTCTTGGGGCCGGATTCCCACCTGGTTAAGGTTCTGGGCCAGGCCACCCTGGGTACTGGGATTGGAGATCACTATGAGCTGCCTGGAGGGAGCCCCACCATGTTGGCGAAGAGGAAAGCCCTACCCGCCCCCCTCCCTAACCATCTGTTTTTCTGACGTCTCATCCCCACTTTGAGCAGATGTATTTTTGTTCCCAAGCAGCCCCCTGGGAGAGCTGTGGCTGAACTGACTGGCTGAGCAGGCGGCTCGTTTCTTGAAGACTGGCCAACTGACCTCCAGGTCAACTGGCTGCTGGCCTGGGCAGGCTTGCTAACAGGGGAGGCAGCAAAAGAGCCTGAGTCAGTGTCGCAGTCTACCTGACTCATGTGGGACAGCTCCCTGTGGTCTGTGGGCTGCATTGTTCTCACCTATAAGGGCGGAGTGTGGTTCCTCAAGGTGATGTTGAAGTCTCAGATCTGATGCTTGGAGCAAAGCTTACTCTGACTGTGGGGGAGCAGAGAAGAGGGTAGTGACTTATGCTTGCTCTTGCCAATCCACCCTGATTTGTTTTCTTGGTGAGGCCAACAAGGAGTGCAACTGTGAGGCTGAGGGAGTGCGGCTGGGGAGCAGGGCTCAGCGAATCACCTCCATGCTTTGCTCTTTCCCTACTTCCTTCCTCCTGGAGAAAAACAAGCCAGCCCCGCTTCAGAGCTCTATAGGGATCCCAGCTTGGGGCATCTGAGGACGGGTCTGAGGTGTCCCATTATGTAACCTAGAGGAGCTGTCCAGGCAGCCATCTGTCCCCCAGAGAAGATGCCCAGTCCTCTTGAAGAGGCTGCAGTTCCACTAGTGGGGCCAGGTGCAGAGAGCTGTCCTCACTCCTACCAGGTTCCTGGAACAATCAGGGCACATAGGAGAAAGCTGGCCCAGGGAGGCAGAGGCCAGCTCAAACTGTGAACAAGTGGTCAGCATGACATCAGGGTCTCCAGTCCCTGGCGAAGATGCGGCAGAGAGTCACACTCATGGCTGATGAGGAGGGGAGTGGAGCTCAGATGAAACAGATCCACCAAGAGCTCCTTCCAACCCTGAGATCCCATGAGACTGGCTTCCCTGTGACTTAAGCCTTTCCCTGCTCTCTGTCCAGTTGTGCTCCCTGGACCTGGGAGGAATGGAGAGCAGGGGAACAGCCATGGTGATCAAAAATTTGGCAAGGAAAACCCAGGAAGGCAGATGGAAAAACAAGAGAGACACAGAAAGAAGAAGACATTTCCAGGGACACGAGCCAGGAAGGAGGCAGGAAAGGGAAGAGGTTAGGGACACCAGAAGGTTCCCTCTTACCAGTGGATGGAGATGAGCTTCATCACTCTGCCATTTTTGACAGTTGTGCACAAGGGTAGTTAAATCTTTACAACCCCCCTGGGTTGAACTCAGGATGCCGAGTTCAGAGGCTGTGAGGGAGGGGATCCATGGGTAGATTACACTGGCCTCTGCAGAGGGCCTGGAGGAGAAGAACCCCAGAGAAGGCTCAGATGGGTGGCTGGAGACCAAAGTAGCCAGTTGAAATGCCAGGGCCCTTGGGGGAAGTAGCTGGGGTCAGACAGGATCCCTGGGGGCTGCAATATCAGATGCTCTGTGTCGTTCTTCATGGCTGTTTCCTGGATGATACCACATGGGTTACTTGAGTGGCTGAGGACTATAAAGGGTGCCTTACAGGAAGGAAAAGGAGGACCAGCCCTTGCAGAGACCTCAAAATGAATGAGACACCCTGGATTGTGCAGTGCACAATTAACGCAACTGAACACAGCAGCCCTGGAAGACTTCAATGTACAGAAGAGAGTGTGCAGCTCCAACCTGAGTTAGAGCACTACTAACCTACAAGCAATGGGCAAGTCAGTTCACATCGCTGAGCCTCAGTTTTCTTATCTGTAAAATGGGAGTAATTATCTGTTCCACATTAGGTGCGTGAGGCAGTCTGTGAACTCCCTCACATAAAACCCGGCATATAGTCCATACTAAACACAAATTTGTCCCCTTACATTCTCTATGTGAAGAGACAGAAAGTGGAAACAAGAGGTAAAACTGGACACTAGCCAGAGCAGGCAGACTAGGGCCTGCAGGAAAAACAAATGGAAATCTGCACTGCTGCTCCCACACAGGAAGTGCTGGTGGGGCCACCACCTGCACTGTGTCTGAGGCCCTGTGCAGAGCTCCATGGTGACCTGGAGATGCCACAGTGTGATCTGTGCCCTTGGGAAACTCACAGCCCAGAGGTGGAGGCAGGGGTCCTCGATGTGAATCCCAGCTCCATGGCCAACGAAATATGTGACCGAGCTTCCTTTCCTCATCTGTGGAATGGGAATTATGGTCGTGCCCATTTTATAGAATTTTCTGAGAATTAAAGGAAATTTGAATAGCACGATTACTGCAGTGTCTGAACACATTAAATGGTCAATGTTTGTCAATGTTAACAGTGTTAATTTTGTTTTGTTCTGGGTGCAAGCAATTGTAACACCAAGCACAATGTGGATAAGGCCCCAGCAGTGCTGAGAGGCCCAGAGGAGGTAGAGATTTCAGTCACGGAGGAATGGAGATGTTTCCAGAGAAGGGCATTCAAGCTGGATGTCGAGTAACGGGTGGAATTTCAGCAGGCATCCTGGCTAGAGGGTGTGTGAGGAGCAAGGAATGGTCTAAGCAAAGGCACAGAGATGATGCCACACCCCAGGAGGCCATCTTAGCTCTAAGCATTCACACTCACAAGGCTACTGTGGGCACAGTGAGCATCAGTCCACTCTGAGGATCTGGGCAGCTTGCCAGCAAGGCAGCGTCACTCTTCCTCACCACATCCACACAGACATGGGCGATCCACGCCAGTGGGTGTGGGCCCATCCTGTCTTAGAATCCCCATTCCCCACAAAATTCCAGTGCCCACTAACAATCCCAGGGTTCCTGAAGCATCCACGCACATTACAGGAGTCACCAAACTCAGGGAAGCCCAAAGCATGGTGTCCTCCTGATAGTTCATTCATGGTTCTTCCCAGTTCAGAAGTTATTTACCGACCCATGTTCATTTTTGCCATAGCTATGTTGTCGAGTGTCAAGTTAAAAAGCAAAATTGCTTATTTTATTGTCAAAATGAGTTTATTCGGGAATAGCCAAAAGAACTGCGATTTGGGATGTGCATGCTATGGTACCATAGGCAAATCGAGAAGACAAAGGAGGGAGCAGGTTTCATAGAGAAAAAGATGGAGTAGGGAGTGGCTGTTCTAGAGGAAAGTCCATTGGGGGGAAGTAACAGTTCAGGGCGGCAACGGCTTCTCATTGGCTGGGCTACAGCATTTCTCATTGGCTGGGCTGTTGCCAGGTGGGGAGAGAAATCTTCCTTCAGTAGTAAGGTAGTTTTAGCTCCTGTCCAAGATGTGAGCATCCCTCGCTTCCGGCTTGGTGTAATTGACATATGGGGTTGGGGTGAGTGTTCCCCCTCCAGGCCCTCCTGACTCCAACTTAGTTAAGGTTTTTTTTTTTTTTTTTTTTTTTTTTTTAATTAATTTCCACACTAGCAACACAGTTAACATTCTCCAGTTATCAGCTTTCCTGGGAGACTGAGTTGGAGAGTGTAACCCAAGGTCAGCTTCCCAGGGGACGGGGACACGGTTTGGTTAGTCCTTACCCACAGGTGGAAGGATCTCAGGGCATGTTCGGAGCACGTTCTCTAGTACAGTATGGGGGCGAGGGAAAGGATGTGGTGGGAGAGGCAGGGAGGGGGCTTGGAGGAAGGTGTTTGGAAAAGGGAGGCTAGCAGGGAGGGAAGTCAAGGCTTAGTCTATGCGGGATCCAGTGTTAGGTGCCTCCAGGTGTTATGTCACTCAAGGGTCTGGAATGCCACACATGACGGTTATGGACTAGTTTGAAAAGGGCGACAAGATATGTTAAATGAAAAGCAGAAGATTTCAGAAAAGTATTTATCACAAACTTTTCCTACATAAAACTCCTCTGGGTCAGTAGTTGAGCTATAAAACCCCCACAGAGCACATACCTCCCTCTGGATGGTCTCACCAATCTCATCTCAGACCTCTGTCCCACCAAGTGGCAGCTCCTGGAAGACCCCACACTCTTTCCCACCCCAGAGGCTCTGTGCTTGCTGTTCCCTAATCAGCAAGGTTCTTCCTTGACTCTTCACCTGGCCAGCTCCTTGTCATCCTTTGGGTTCCACCTGAAATGTCATCTCCAACAGGAGCCATTCTGGATCACTACATCTAAGCAAGTGTCCCTGTTGGTCTGTCTCGTAGCACAGCGTTTTTTTTCCTTCTTCACAGACACTACTGACTGTAGTGATTTTACCTAATTGTTTCCTTACTTATTATCAGTCTTCCCCATAGAATGTAAGGGCAGGACCACGTCTGCTTCATTCCCCTGAGACGTCTAGACAGTGTCCTGCACATACCAGGTCCTCAATAAAAATGTGTCAAAGGACTTCACAGGGGTGGAATCGAGGTGATTTCTGTATTGCACAAGCTGGTATAATCTTTCTAATGAAAAAGCTTTAGTGCTGAGGAGAAAGCTCTTTCTGGCTGCAGTGTGGACAGAGGGTTGGTGGCAGGCAGGAGATGGAAGCAGCTTGGCTAGTTTGGGGTTGTTGAGCCAAGCTAAGTGCAATAAGAGGGTGGCTTGGGCTTAAAGCTGTGGCTGTGGGGCTGGAGAGGAGCCTGAGCCCAGAAATGGAAAGATCCCAGAGATGGACTGGCAGACTGGCTGGGAGGGTATCCAGGTGGAGGGAGAAATGCTCCCAGGGCCTGTCTGGGCAGCCTCCTCTCTTCCCTGCTCAGGGTCTTGGGGCCTGGCTGGTGATGTTGAGTTCCTGAGTGGCCTGGACCTCTGTTGCCATTTCAGATCCAGCAGACGGGGAGCCTGGACAAGGTGGTGTCCTGGGCCCACCAGTTCCCCTACGCCCACCCACTCTGGTATGGGCAGTTCGTTGGCTTCCTGAATATCTATGAGCCTGACTATGCCAAAGCTGTATATAGCCGAGGGGGTGAGTGCTCCTGGGAGAGGGTGGGGCTTCCTGAGAACAAAGGTCTTAGGGCACCATGTGGGGTGGAACCCAGGCCTGCCCGCTGAGTCTGTGCACCTGAGGTCCCCATCCTATTTATCAGCAAGCCTCCTTTGGGATCCCCCAGTCTCCACCTGGCCTGATCTTCTCTTTTTCCTGCAGACCCTAAGGCACCAGATGTTTATGACTTCCTCCTTCAGTGGATTGGTGAGTGGGCAACTGCCCTCCCAGCCCAGACCTTTGGAGCTGGGTGACCAGGATCCTTCCCTGCTTTGTTCCTCCCTGCCCTGTCTACTTAGTCAGTTATCCCATTAACCAGACTACCAAGCTCCCAAGGGCCCCTCCTAAGCTCAGCTGCTCCGTGGGAGACAGGGAAGGAGGCAGGAGATCTCCTGGCTGGTGGGGGAATGGGGCTCAGGTACTTTCTCCTGCCGGGTGAGTCCTTCTCCCTGAACAGGCAGAGCCAGGGCTCTGAAAATGTGTGAGTGTGCAGAACAGCTTCCTGGAGGAGATGGCACTAGATTGGTCCTAAGAGATTTTATGGGTTTTGGTGACCAGGGCCGGGCATGAGGAAAGGAGGGGTGGTAGGACCAAGGCAGGTGTCACAGAGGCTGTGAGGCTGTCTGGGTGGCTGGAAGGCAGAGCTGGGTGGGGATATGAGGTTGGGCAGGCATAACAGGGGTGGGGTTGGGTGGGGTGTGCTTGTCCCCAGGCTGCCGGGGCAGAGCAGGATTGTGTGGACTGACTGGCCCTCCCTCTCCCATCCTTTCCCCAGGGAAAGGCCTGCTGGTCCTTCATGGGCCCAAGTGGTTCCAGCACCGCAAGCTGCTCACGCCTGGCTTCCATTATGATGTACTGAAGCCCTATGTGGCCCTGTTTGCTGACTCCACCCGTGCCATGCTGGTGAGCACCCTGCTAAGCTCCTGGAGGCTGTGGCTGCTGGCCAGACCCTCCCCACCCAGTTTTCCCTGGGGTGGGGGAACAGTGAGGAGAATCACTAAGGCCCTGAGGCCCCCATAGCAGTGCTGAGCCTTCTCCACCTGACACTTTCTGAGTGCTGGTGCTGACCAGGTGCTGAAGGTCCCAGTGGCCAGGCAGCCCTGGCCCTCGTCTCCACCAGGAGACCCAGCCCTCCTTCCCGGACCAAAGGGCCTCCGTGGGGCCCCAAGAAGGCTCCTATTGTAGCGGATTTGAGGGCTGCCTGTGTGTGAGGATATTAGGAAGGCCTTTCGCATCTAAAAAATGTCTTCTCCTCATTCTCTGTCCCCCTCGACTGCCTAAAACAATGCCATTAGTGCCTCATCTCTAAAAGGGATGCTGCGGTCAGGGGGCAGGCTCAGGGTCTCAGGGCTGATAATCCACAGAGATTACCAGGGATAGGAGCCTCCCATTGCAGGAACTCCTCCTCAGCATGACTGCAGGCCTGAGTTCTCATAGACTGTGCTGGGGAGCTCACCACCCCTCGGGCCTCCTCTTCCCATCTATGCAGGCTGCCTTCGCTGGGAGGAAGTGTCCTTGTGCATGTGCAAGGCCTGCCTTTTGGTCCTGCCCTCTAACCTTCAGCCCCTACGCACCCCCACCCATACATTCTGGCAGGATGGAGGCCAGGCCAGGGACTGGGGGTGCATGGGAGGAGGACCGGCTGTGGGTTCTGGAGGGCAGGGGTGGGTCACTCAGTCCAGCTGGCCCCTCATATTACCTTCCATCTCTGCTCCAGGACAAGTGGGAGGAGAAGGCTCGTGAGAATAAGAGCTTTGACATCTTCTGTGATGTGGGCCACATGGCGCTGGACACGCTCATGAAGTGCACCTTTGGCAAAGCAGACACTGGCCTGGGTCACAGGTCAGGGGGCACTTGGGGCTGACCACACTGTCCACCCAGGCCAGCTCCGAGGGGAGACTTGGCAGGACTCCTGGACCCTGGTCTCAGAGGAGATAGGGTCCTGCCCTGGGGAGCCCCAGCTTGGGGGGAACAGGGCCTTGTCCATGGCGGGGAGACAGGTTATGGCTTTAGTGGGGAGACTTAAGGACAGGGAGAGGAAGGCAGAAAGTGCTGCAGTTGGGGAGGATTCTGGAATGGAACTGCTTGGCTTCTGCTTGAGGTCAGTGTCTGAGAGACCCTCCCTTTCTCGGCTGTGCAGGGACAGTAGTTATTACCAGGCAGTCGGTGAGCTCACTCTGCTGACACAGCAGCGCATCGAGTCCTTCCAGTACCACAACGACTTCATCTACTGGCTCACCCTCCATGGCCGCCGCTTCCTGCGTGCCTGCCGGGTGGCCCACGACCACACAGGTGGGCCTTTGCCGCAGGGCCCACCCATAGAAAACCCAGCTTCTAGTCCAGCTTCGGTCGGCCTTTCCAGGGTCCCTCCCTTTGAAAGAGATTGGTTCTTCTTAGGGCTGAGAATGGGTTCCCAGGCAGTGAGACCCTGTGCTCTGGCCCAGACCAGGTCATCAGGGAACGGAAGGCAGACCTGCAGGACGAGAAAGAGCAGGAGAAGATCCAGAACCGGAGGCACCTGGACTTCCTGGACATTCTCCTGGGGGCTCGTGTGAGTGCGTGCCCAGCTGAGAACTGGTCCCAGAGGGCCTGCACACCATCCTCTGGGATGGGGCTCACTGGACAGCAGCAGGGGCGCTTAACCATTGCTGTCCTCTTTCTCCTGCAAACATGACCTGTTCCTTGTCCCATGGCACATATCAGCACAGGCTTGGACGTGTTATGGTGCTGAGTGTGTCTGGCCGTGGCCCTGGGGAGAGATGTCCTAGCAGGGAGGTTGGGTCACATGCTGAAAGGCCTGAAGACCAACTCCAGACTTCTAAGACTGAGAAGAATCTTTGTACCCTAGAATCTTAGACTTTCTTCATTCATTCATTCATCCTTTCATTTGAGCCTTTATTCATTTGCTCACAAACTTCCTGAGCCCCACCCTGGGTTTGTTCCTGTGCTAGGGATGCAGAAGATGAGAAACACCGGGCCCTGCCCTCCAGACTCTTACAGTCTAGTGGAGGAGACAGGAGCTGCACGTTGACGGAGATCCCTTCCTCCACCAGGTGGCATTCTGTGTGTCAAGTGAGCAGAACTGGCAGTCAGGGCTGGGTAAGGTCACAGGTCACGTGGCCAGAGGGATCAGGGAAGGCTCCCTGGAGTAGGAGGCAGGGAAGCTGGGCTTGGGAGAACAGATAGGAATCTGCGGGAAGGTTCTAACCCTCAGTCTGAAAAGGAACTGTCCCTCCCTCCCTGGGACCTTCATGTGACAACTGTTGTTATGGCTTCCTCTTGGTACCCACCTCAGATGTCTTGGGCTGTGTCGTTATGCCTCCTCTAACCCAGGATGAAGATGGGATCAAGCTGTCAGATGCCGAGCTCCGCGCTGAGGTGGACACGTTCATGTTTGAAGGCCATGACACCACCACCAGTGGCATCTCCTGGTTTCTCTACTGCATGGCCCTGTACCCCGAGCACCAGCAGTGTTGTCGGGAGGAGGTGCGCGAGGTCCTTGGGGACCGAGACTCCTTCCAGTGGTGAGTGAGGCTGCAGGTGAGCCCAGTCTGTCCTGCTCAGCCCCAGGGAAGGACTGTGCCAATGCTGTCTGGTATCATCCTTGGATGACACAGCCCTCCTGGAAGCCAGGTGAGGGTGGTGGCAGCTCTCCTGTTCCCTCCAGTGTGTGGCATTTTTGGGGAGCTGTGATGGACGCACCCCTGAGCCCATCCTCCCACAACGGAGGCTTTCCAGGTGTGAGTCCTGAGAGAAGGTTCAACAGGAGCCTGATTTCTTGTGTGCTGCCTCCTCTGATGGCAGAATCCGATGACCCTTCTGGGTTCCTTCAGAGAGCAGGGAGCTCTGGGAGGGAATGAGGCGGGAATCGGGGATGCGCAGAGCTGGGAGAGCCAGGGGAGCTGATCCCTCCACCGCCTTTGCATGTGTTGCGTAGCCTCCAGAGTCATCTAGGGAGGAGAAGAGGCTGTTTCCCAAACTCCGTCACTGAAAACCTTTCCACTGTTTTCTGTTTCTTGGTTCCAGCTTGAACTCATTGACAGGACACCGATCGATGCTGATCTCTTTTTGCAGCATGATCTCTGGGCATCTCCCAGAGGCTCCGCTCCCACCCCTGCCCTCACCTCCCTCTCTCCCTGCCTCCCCGCCTCAGGCCTTAGCATCTGGTCTTGCTCCTCACCTTTCTCTCTGGGCTCCATGAGGCAGGCCCACAGCAGGGACGCAGAAGATGCTCAGTCGATGGGAGAAACTTCAGATTCACTTGAGGGGGGCTGACCTAGGATTCCAGGGCCTAAGGTTTGGAGGACGAAGTCTTCACTACCCATTTTCATTGGTCAGCTGTTGGAAACCTCCCAGAGTGTCCAGCGATGTGTCAGGTCTTGTTGGGGGTGCGGGTGGGGAGAGGAGGAGGAGGAGCCAAGTTGCTGGCCTTGGGGAGCTTTTAGAGACAAAGTCATTTAAGCAAAACTAGAGAAAACCATGGTGTAGGGAAGATGGAGTGGCCCCTACTGAGGGCAGAGGAGTCAGAATGGGTGGGGCTTGATTTGGCTTTCCAGGGAGGGGTGAAATTCAGATAGGTAAAGTGAGAGAGGGCTGGGCATTCCAGGCGGGGTAACACTGTGAACACAGCCTGGAGGCAGCAAGTTAAAATATTTACTTTATGATTACTTCATTGCATCTAGAGCTTGGAGCAACTTAAAGGACATTATTTAACAAAATAGTAAAATACAAATGAAAATAGACCAGAGTCAAAATGTTATATTTTGGGGTTCTGTAATAAAGTGTTACACAGAGTTGTAGTTAGACCACTCTGAACTTCCTGGTGGCAAAAGGGAAAAGAAAAACATATATGTATATATTTTTACCTGAGCTTGCCATTGTTCACGCATTTAGTACCTCATTTGACCAGTGTATATCAGCCCCTGTTCCTTTCCATTCTATCTGCATAGGGGATACCAAGAAGAACTAAGGAACTGTCCTTGTGTGGCTTCTGTGGGGTCCTGGGAGACACAGGGCTGCCATTGTCTTTGATGGCTGGGTGCACATACACCTCTAGGGTCCTGTGCTTTCCCTTCCCGGCAGTGAAGATGAGGGAGGGATGGAGGCAAGCGGCACCAGAACCCCTGGGTCTGAGTGGCCACGCCACGTCCAGTCTCGCCTGGACACTTGGAGTGCTTGTGTCCCTCTGACTCTCGGGTGTGTGCTGGAGATGAAAGGGAGGCTGGGGCTGGAGCCTGCCTTCCCGTGGGAGCCTGAGGCTCCCCATCCCCAGGACGGCCTGGTTGTGTTGCCGGCAGGGATGATCTGGGCAAGATGACCTACTTGACCATGTGCATCAAGGAGAGCTTCCGCATCTACCCGCCCGTGCCCCAGGTGTTCCGCCAGCTCAGCAAGCCCGTCAGCTTCGTGGATGGCCGCTCCCTACCCGCAGGTTGATGGGGTGGCTTTGGGGATGGTTCTCTGATACTCTCTGTGCCTTTGGCCAAATCTGTGCACCAATGGGGAAGAGCTCAGGCTCTGTATTTGACCTGGCTCCAATCCTGGCTGCACATGAATGGGTCCCACTTCCCCTCAGCCTCTGTTTCCTCTTCTGTGAAATGGGAGTGTGAAGAGTCCCTGTCTTACGAGGTTGTTGTCAGGATTAGAGACAATGTTCATCAGGTTGTCATGTACCACCATGCAGGTTGTGCCCTGAACAACTTCAGGAAGCATCATTCCCATAGACTATGATGCTGTGCAGTGCACAACCTGTCCAACTGTAAGTGGTGGCTTTGTAAAGAAAGTTTATCTCAGTATCTGGCACATAGTAAGCATCCAATGAATGGTAGCTGTCACTATTGATAGAATAATGTTATGAATAACAACTTCCCTTGAGAGTCAGCTAATTGAAAGCGGAAAGTGTGTAATGCTCGGTGCCTGTCGTACCTCGTGGTGGAGTAGCTTCAGTATCCTTTTTGTGCCGGGTGCTATGCCCAGTGCTGGGGCTGCAGGAGGCAGGTGTGATGATGATCAAAACCCCTTTGATGTGTTGAGGGTGCTCGTGAAGGGTCTGTCAGTGGCAGTGCTCAAGCAGAGGCTGGTTCCCATTGTGGGGACACCGGGGGACCCAGGCCCTGTTAGGAGGTGGGCCTGGCTGTCCCAGGACCACCTGGTCACCAGGCCTCTGCTCTGCCCGCAGGCAGCCTGGTCTCTCTGCACATCTACGCCCTCCACAGGAACAGCGCAGTGTGGCCCGACCCTGAGGTACCCCATCCCTGGACCTGGGCTCAGATGGGGTGGGAGGCTGTGGGGGCCCGCCTCCCCAGCACCTGGCAGGTGTTTAAGCAAGGCCTGTCCCCTCAGGTCTTTGACCCCCTGCGCTTTTCCTCTGAGAATGTGGCCAGGCGCCACCCCTTTGCCTTCATACCCTTCTCCGCTGGGCCCAGGTAAGGAGAGGCCCAACCACCCCAGACGTGAGGGGCAGGGCGGGTGAGGATGGAAGATGTTGTGGGGGAGGCGTCATTTTGGGGAACTCTGTGATGAGGGGACCATGCTGGGTTTGTGGTGACTCTAAGGCAGGGTGAGTTCCAGGGACCTTCTTCTTGCCACTAGCCTATTCACGTCCCTGGCAGGTGGTGGGTGGGTGAGTCATAACTAGAGAGAGCCCCAAACCAGAATGTGAATCTACCCAGTCTGGACCCCTCACCATGCCCCCAAGATCAGTTTCTTAAGCCCAGGTCAATCAGTTGATCAGCCAATTGTTCTCCTTACAGTCCTTACTGATTCTTGTTGGCCACTCAGAGCACTGCATCCCTCACCCTGGACACCCCACAGCCTGATGCCGTGTTGTTCTCTCACCGCAGGAACTGCATCGGGCAGCAGTTTGCCATGAACGAGATGAAGGTGGTCACGGCCCTCTGCTTGCTGCGCTTTGAGTTCGCCCTGGACCCCTTGCGGCTGCCTGTCCCGTTGCCCCAGCTGGTCCTGCGCTCCAGGAATGGCATCCATCTGCACCTGAAGCCGCTGGGCCCGGGCTCTGGGAAGCAGCTCTGCTGAGAGTAGGGCCCCAGACAGCCCAGACCATGGCCTGTCCCTGGGCACCGCCCTCCCCAGGCTGGGTTGTGCAGTAGCTGTGGCTCTCTGCCTTCCGAGGGCTTGTAGACTACAAGGGGAGGAGGCACTGGCGTAGACAATCACCTCGAGGGCAGGGCCATGTTGTCTATAAATGCTTATCATGCCTGTATGTCTAGGGCTTGCACCTACTTGCTTCTAGAATCTTCACTTATCTCCCATAATTGGCAGTCTTTTAAAAATGTAGCAGAAACTTACATCCAGCCTCGGTGACTCAGTGACCACAATGGAAATTGTGCCTCGGGATTCATGGATATGACCAGCCACTCACCCATTCCATGTGACAGAGGGGTGGCTTTGTCCCTTCACTGAGATGGGTTTCTTTCTTTCACTTTTGTGTGTGCACTTGGAATATAACAGAAATAAGGAAAAATTGCCTAAACCAAAAATGTCCAGAACAATGAGTTTCTCCAGCAAACTCCCAGGTGACCGCCGCCAAGGGCGAGGAATATGCAAGATGGTCTCACGGGTGTGCCTTCTGCCCCCCGAGATAGGTCTCTGCGGCATTCCTGACATCGTCAGCATCTGTGTCACAGCCACCTGGTGCTCTGGCCATTTGGGCTTTCGCTGGGAAGGTGGCAGAGTGGCATTCGAGGGGGCTTCCTGGAAGAGATGGTGCTTGAATCAGGGCTTGAGGCAGGTGAGGCCCGAAGCTGTAAGGAAGGACTTTTGGGGAGGCCTTAGGTGGGGCCCATGCTGAACCAGAGACCCTTCCCCAGGAGTCCCTGCAGCAGCTGCCTGATGGCTGGGGGCACACTCTCCTCTAGGGCTCCAGCCCAAGGCCATCAAGTGGGCTCCAACCGAGGAATTAGACAGCTGTTGAAGGGAGGGCATGGAGAATGGGGGAGGGATGGGAGAGGGGAATTCTGGCCCTGGCACTTGGGAGGTCTCTATGCTGCCCTGGGGATGCACCATCTGGAGACACATCCTTCCTGCTATTGATGCTTCCCTCCTCAGATGAGGGCCACAGCCCTGCAAGGTTGGCATGGGCCACCTGCTCACTCCTGCAAAGCCCTTTTGAGAACCACACTTCCTTGCCCACCTGAGGCTGGGATGCCAAGGCCCCAGCCAGGCTGTCTCCCATGCCACCAACTTTTACCTCTGTCCTGGCCTACCTCTTTCTGCTGAAGTGAAGATAGGGTTTCTATAGTCAACACCTGGGAGCAGAGCCCAGCGGTTATAACAGCCTCTGGCCCATGGGTGGCGCCCAAGTCTTAGATGTGTCTACTTCCCAATGTCTTTGGATTATCAGGAAGCCTGGGAGTCAGAACAGGAAGCCATCATCCCACTTCAATATTAAGGGAAGGAAGCTGCCAAGATGCTCAACAGGGAGGAACTTGAGCTGAGGCCTTCCGACTCAGGCCTCTTTTGACCAAGACTCCATAGGGAGCACTGACTCTCTCTGGGGGCAGGAGTCAGTGGGAAATAGAGCTGAGAGCTCTGGAGCCAGAGGGAAGGGGGAGGCTCCCTGTGGGAGGGGAGGACAGAGGCTGGGGACAGGTGAACTAGTCCTCCCAGCTCTGCAATCACTCCCTGCTGCCTCCTATGATCCCAGGCGTTTTTGTGCACGTGTGTGTGCACAGTGTGATGTGAGAGGGGCACACGCAGGGATGGCTGCACAGCAGTGTCTCTATGTGTGCCGGCGGGGGTATGCACACGCGTGTAAACTCATCCTGGGTTTTTCCCCTTGCCTGGAGCGAGAAGGGTCCCTTCTTGGTCACCCTCTTCATCTCCTGTGGAATCCTGTGGTTAGAGCTCGTGTCCATGGCCTGCTGCCCAGAATTCCAGGTTCCTGTTGCCTTGTACTCTCTGACATGGTCGGCGGAGCCCTTCTGCAGCACCTGATGCCAGGGCCTTGCCGACCTTCCTCTCCAGACCTCTCCCAACTTAATTTCATGCCTCAACCCCTGGTCAAGCGCTGAGTGTCCACCCTTCTTCTCAGAGCAGGGCTGAACTAGCCCAGTGACCTAGGAGGGCAAGGGACTTGGAGGGAGGTCCTGGCTCCAGGCACTGACTGGGGGAGGAGCCCCTTCCTGGAGGCAGAACATGGCATCACAGCACAGGCAGAGGGCTGCAGGGAGCTCTATCTATAGCATCCCAGCCCCTGGGCTGGGAAAGGCAGGGGATGAGAGGGGAGAAGACCTGTGTGCAGGACCAGCAAGAGAGCAGGGCTGGCTTGAGAGAGGCCGGTGGAGGAGTGCAAAGGGACCTGGTGCAGGGTCAAGGCCCAGGGTCAGGAGTGAAAGCAGGGAACAACTTGCTTTAACTATCCTCACTTAGCTGTCTGCAAAAGAAGTTAGATAATGCATTCCTAAAGCCCAGCCTCCAGGTAACATCTCTGATGCTTGGGTCACCATGGTAATGTGTGCTTAAGTTTTCAGGAACTGAGAGTTGACTCCTTGTCCAGTTCAGGCCTGTTAAGACCACTGACTCATCAACTTTGCCTGGGTGGATGACTGATAGGTGGCTCTTTGACATCAGGGGCTTGAAAATTCCACCCTCAGATAGTGTTGACGCCATCGTTTTGTGAAGACGTGTCCTGCGGAGAGTCAGGAAGCTTGACTCCACTTGTGCAGAGCATCAATTACTTCATGTCTCCTTCCCGCCAATCCTCTATCCCCGCAGTTCAGACTTCGCTGCCCCATTTATCCTGTAAATATTCCTAATCCCCAATTTTGGGGAGGTGCATTTGAGGCTTGTTTCCCATTTCCTTGCTTGGCCGCCGTGGGAATAAACCCTTTCTCTACTGCGACCTCGTCTTGGTGACTGGCATTTCATGTGGCGGGTAAAACGAACCTGAATCAGTATCAGGAGGACCAGTCCCCACACAGTCTGCCAGTGTGACGGGGTTGTAGAAGCCCCTCCTCCCTGATGGTGGCTGACCAGAGACGCAGGGGACTGTCAAGGGGCTGTCCTGTGGGGGAGGTGCCACGGCTGTTTGCTGCTTGGGATATGATATCCTCTCCCTCCAGTCAACCCATCTACCCCCATGGGCTCCTCCCAGTTCCTCCTGGACAGATGCCCACGCTGTGGCCTCTGAGACGATGGGACACGACTGGCCCTGCAGGGGTCCTGGCACCACAGAGCAGAGATTACCTTCCTTCCTTGTCTCCTCTGTCTTCCCTCCCCTTCTCTCTCTCTTCTCTTCATCCATCTCCTTCCAAGGGAGGACAACACTCCATGCAACACTGTGAACTTTATTGCAGAGCATGGGAAAGAAGGAGCGGGTATGTGAATGACAAACGGGTAGACAGTTGACACATGAAGAGATTGAGAGCACAGAGTGATTATAGTTACACAGAGAAATGCAGGCTAAATACTGGCTCCCATGGTGTCCACGTCCTAATCCCAGGACCCTGTCACTTTGTCCTGTATTATCTGAGTGGGGCCTGTGTAATCACAAAGGTCCACATAAAGAAGAAAGCCGGGTAAAGACAGAAGCAGAGACACATTTGAAGATGCTGCTGGATTTGAATATGGAGGGGGCTCCAGGAGCCAAGAATGCAAGGAATTCAGCTCTAGCTGATGGAAAGTCAAAGAGAGCTTTTCTCTCCTGAGATCCCTGGAGGTCCGGTGGCCCGGCCAACACCTTGGCTCTGGACCAGCGAAGCCATTTCAGACTTCTGACTCTAGACTGTAAGAGAAGAAATTTACATTGTTTTAAGTTATTACGACTGCAGTAGATTAGTATTTACAGCAAAGGAAAACAATAAAGGGACAGACAGGTGGACAGAAAGGGAAATACAGGGAGAGGGCAGACAGGCTGGAGGACAAGCAGGTGAGAAGGAGTTAAGTGACAGTCAGAGCTGCAGGTGAGTCAGAGACAGACACACAAACAGTAGGGAGCCTGGAAAAGGATGAGAGAGAGAAGAGTGACAGTCTGATGGGCAAGAGGCAGGAGATCAGGTGGCCTGGCAGGTGGGCAGAGAGAAAGCAGGAAGTGGGCAGACAGGCAGTGGTAGGAGAGAGTGACAGGAAGACAGGATGGACGCAGGGGCCCCTCAGAGCCCATCATTGTCCCCACAAGGGTTAGAGGAGCTTCCTGAGATGCAGGTGGAACCCATTCTTGGACTTCAACACGATTCTTGGAATGGGAACAGGGACTCTGGATGGATATGGTGACAGCTCAAAGCGGAGCAGGGTCAGGGCCACGGCCACCTTCAGCTCGTTCATGGCAAACTGCTTCCCGATGCAGTTCCCGGGCCAGGGAGGGGAAGCAAAGTGAGAAGTGGGCTCAAACTCTGTTTGGAGTTGGGCAGGCATTGACCACTGAGCCCTAGCCAGGAACAGGGCATTCGGGGCCCTCCTACATGTGGCCCAGCCTCCATCCCATCCTTCCAGGTCACACACCTCTACCCCAAGCTTTGGTTTGCATTCTCCGCTTGGCCTCTGTCAAAGCCTACCTCTCCCCCAGGACTAGCTCCTAAGCGCTACCTCTGCTCTCAGCAGGCCTGAAATCCCGGTAGGTGAGGGTCAGCGCTCTAGTCACCAGTCAAGTCAAGCGAATCACTGAAAAGTTAATTATTAGTTTGCTCACTCCCTCCACAAGCAGTTTCTGATTTCACGACATGGAGGCCATGTCAGGGCAAGGTAGGGGGCGGGATGGTTCACACTCTCAGACCCTCACGCTGTAGGGAGATACACAAGGACCCAGATCCTCAGAGAAAGGACAAGTTGGAGTTGTGTAAGGACATCAGAATGGCAGCAGGGAGCTGCCTCTAGGGGCCATGCATTAGCAACCCTCAGCCTGTCTTACCATCTGCCTCCCAATTAATGGTCCAGACCCGTGCCTCCCCCTCATCCCTTCAGTCAACCAGCTTCTCTAGCCTTCCAGTCTAGTCCAGAAATGTCCCTCCTTGCCATCCGTCAGTCTCCTCATCTGGGCTTTTCTGTCTGCCTGCCTCCCTTCCTTCTACAGCGAAGCCACAGCCCAGCTCACTCCTGTGCCTCCATCACAGGAAGGACTTGTCCAAATTCCTCAGCTGGCACCAAAGCCCTCTATGGGTCACTGCCTCACTCACCTCTTACCTGTCCAGCTCCACTTCCTAGCTCAGCTCTTGTTGAGATCGCTGAGAATGCCTCCCTCCACCTCTGCCTGCCACATGCTCAAGGCTAAGTCCAATGACAGCTGCCCTCACCCCTCTGCTGGCTCTACCTCTTCTTCTCCAAACCTGTGAGGCGCTATGAGTGTTTTACTCAAGGACATATCACTTTCCTGTGCCCAGGACAGTGTTAGGAATACAGAGCAATTCAACTATCTGCTTAACAAGTGAATGAGTAAAAGAAAGAAAGAAAGAATGAATGAATGCTATGTGTCTTGAGTAGCCCAAGTCTATGAGGAAGGACCCAGTGCTGGGTGAAACCAAATGCTAGAGCCAATTTCTGGAAGTACAGCTAGCTTAAAGCCTGTTCTGTGAACATTGATCCACCATTTGAAGAATTCACAGAATTATGGATTCAGAAAAATCTTGTTTCTAGTAACAACTTACAATGTTTGTAGAAGTTCCTGATTCACCGGACGATATCAGCAGCACTGGAGGATTTTCACAGCAGTCGCTCTGGAGTGGACTCATCCAGTCCAACAGCTGTCTCGAGTGTGCTCTAGATTTTACACACCAGGAAGCTTTCGAAGGCATGTGTCATACACGGAATAGTGGGTCTTCTCTCAAAAGCAGTGGATGGTCCTCATTGTTGTGCTTTATGCCAACATTGGACCTTGTAGACTCTGGGAATATAGTATACAGATCCCATGTCATGTAAAGAATTTTTCCAACTGGAAAATTTGTCATGGTTATGTGAATATTAATATGCAGTCAAATTTTATTGGGATAAACTGCAAAAGCAGAGAAGACACATGTGGCTGCGAGACTTTCTGTCAATGGCTACTGTAACCTTCCATGTATGTGGCTGAACAGTCAGGACAAAGAAGGGCCTGGAAATCCCAAGACACACAAACATCACTGAGACATTGAATGGCGGATCAGAGAATTAAGTAGAAAAGTCCCTGAGCCGGACTGCGAATGTGGGAAGAGAGAAATCAGCTGTTAAGATTACTGATAATTGACAAACTCAGACATCTGAATTTTAATTTTCATGAAAATTCTAATTCTAAAAAGCCATGCTCCTAAAGTGTGGAAAACCCCAGAATACACTGAACTTTGGAACAGCCACTGTCACTGACTGTGGCAGCCACTGGGAAAGTCAGTGGGTCAAAGTCCCTGTGGCGTGCCCAGAAATGCCACTTTTCTTTTGTGCAGAGACACACACCTCCTTCCCAACACACTGACATACAGGGGCATAATGCAGACGCCAATATGAACACAAGAGGTCACAAACATCGGCTGTGCACCCAGTGACACTCTTTCCTCAAGTATTGGACGTCTCACCTTGATCCTCCTGAGAAGGGCAGGAAAGCGTGGCTGTGTTGAGCAGGACTCAGTACAAACCGGGAAGGACCAAACACCTGCAGAGAGAGCCCCAGGACCAGGACAGGTGGGGTCAAGTCCCTCCTTCCAATCCATGAGGTGACAGGACTGCCTGAGTGGGAGTGGGAGGAGGTGTTGGTCTGGAGAGATCACCCCATCCCTTCCTCCCCCGCCCATCATACCTCTGGGTTTGGCCACACCTCCGGGTTGTAGTGAAGGGCATAAAAGGAGAGCATGACCGTGACTCCTGTGGGGCAGAAGGAGAAGAGAGCAGACTGATCATACACAAGGGGCGGGTCCCTGTCCCTGTGGCAGGAGGGGGCATATGCATGCAGGAAAGACCTGAGGGCCACTTCTCATCAATCTGAGTGGAATGAGCCTGCTGCAAGAGAGGTGGGGTGGACACGGCAAAGCTCATGTGCACAGATTAGGAGGAGATAACCAGGACCCAGGATTGAGAAGCAAGAAAGAATTGGGGGCTTACTTTTTGGAGCAACTCAAATGACAACTCATGTTTATCAGGTGCCATCCATGAGCCCTTGGGGGATATGCATTAACTCATTCAATCCTCACATCCACCCTCCAGGAAAGGCTCTCATAGCCCCATTGTTCATATGAGGCACCTGAGCCTCAGAGAGACTGAGCAACTTGCCTGTGATAACCCAGCTAGGATGTGGCAGGGCCGGGCTTCCAACCCAATGGGAGGTGAGCCAGAGGGTTGTCTCCAACTGTGGCAGGGGTCTCAGATCTTGTAGTCGGCTACTCTCTGCCAGCAAACTGTGGGGTCCTCAGAGACTGGAGCATCTGATCCATGACAGTGGATTCCCTGATCTCCCTCATTTGCCTAGACCCCAATAAAAGAACCACATCTCCCCTGACCCCTGTTTGATTGTCTCTCCAGCCCTCGTATCTCAGGGAATTAGAATTTTAGGGCTAATTCCCGAGCCCACATTCAGAGGCTAGCATTTGTTTACTGGGCTTTTACTGGTCTCAAGCTCTGTGCCAAGAACTTCATACACCTCATCCTAACTACAAAGTAAGTATTGATGTTCTTCAGAGGAAAACAAGACCCAGAGAGGTTCAGAGCTGTTCTGGGACACATAGATTTATGACCTCCATTGTGGCGTTCTTGCAGTGCTCTGGTTAGTGAATGTGATGAAATTCATAACTCTGCATAATGAGCGTCCATCGGGGAAGGTAAGGGGCTTGCTGAGCTCTCTGCCAATGCTTGGTACTGGTGGATAGAGTCACAGTGCCTCCTTGATGCACATGGTTGTGTCGGGCATCTGGTCCAGGTGGTCCCTGAAACCAAAGCCCATCCTGAAGGGCGGGCAGGGTCTGGGCAGACCAGGGGCTTCTCTAGCTGAGTGGGCAGGGCTCTCCCATCTCTTGAGCACTCACCAGCTGATGGAGGCGCCATCCCCCAGGAGGCTCTGGATCTCCTCCCGGAACCTCTGCTGATGCTCGGGGTGCGTGACCAGAGCATAGAGGATCCAGGAGATGCCACTGGCTATGGTGTCGTGGCCATCGAACATGAACTTGTCCACCTCAGCATGGAGGTCCTCATCAGACAAACTGCTCCCATTCTCCATCTGAGGAAGGCACAGCAAGAGTGCAGGGTCTGCCCCACGTTCTGTGCTCCTGGGCAAAGCCTCAGGCCTCTCCTACACACACTCACTCTGGCAGTGAGGAGGATGTCCAGGAAATCCAAGCGTCTCTTCTTCCTGACCTTCTCCAGCTCTCCCTCCTTCTGCAGGTGAGCCTTCCTCAGGTTTATCACTCATTCTGTGGCAGAACAGTGGTTCTAAGGAAGAGCTGAGAGCTCTGGGTTCCCAGATACGGCAACCCAAAGCAGCCCCATCAGCCCCCTGCCCCAATCTGGGTGCCAGGTGGATCAGGATGAGTGTAGGAGTGGGTATGCATGTAAGGGGTGAGAGCTCTTGCACCTTCTTGTTGCAGGTCAGAAATCCCCTTAATAGCACAGCTCATGGAAGCTCAACTTGAATGCTTCCAAGCAAAGAGTTCACTTAATCATCACCTATGTGATGCACAGCACCTGGACCCTGACATTACCAGGTCGGTTCCCAATGCCTGCACCAGGGAAGTACACAGCACGAGTGTGTCTCAGCTCTTGAAGGGGAACCAGGGGGCCTGGCTCTACCTGAGGAGTCAATGCCAGTCCCTTTGAAATGTGCCTGATGAAGGAGGGGAGTAGCCCAGGGAGCAGGAGCCAAAACATGTGTGTTGATGGGCTAGCTGGCAGGCCCGGTGGTTCCAGTGGCCATCAGGGGTCAGTCTGTAGATGATGTCATTCTGGTAGAAGACATTCCTCAAGCGGAAAAAAGCCAGACTCTTCCGGTCCTCAACGGCCTGGGTGTAGGATTGCAAATCTTTAAAGGGAGAGGATGCAGGTGAGACTACAGTGGAGGGAGGCCTCTGACCTGGTGGTGGAGTGGATCTATGGGTGTAGGAGTCCTTAATCAGTGGGGACAGGACACTGAGGCATTGGTCATTGTCATCTCACAGCGCTTGAGACCCTCAGTCCCTCATTATAAGTGGTGTGGTCAGCCAGGCTTCTATCTGTGCCAGGGCTCACCGATCCATGGCTGAGTCAAGGTTTGGTCTAGCTGGAATTTGAATTTGTCTGGAACTGTGGGCAGAATCTTGCTTCGTGTAGAGGTGAACATCTAAGTTGTCCCACTTGCTACTCAGGTAAGTCCACACCAGTAGGTAAGAAAGAAAACCCTCCAGCTGAAGGGCAATCACTGACCTGTCTGTGTGGATGCTGCCCTGGTGGCTGAAGGTACACTTCATGATGGTGTCCAGGGTCATCAAGAAGATGTGCCCAAAGATCTCCAGATGTGAGCCCTGGCTGAGGAGCTCCTCCCATTTGTCCTGTGGTGGGAGGGAGACATTCATTCTACTCTCTCCCCTGGGAGACTCATGATGACAAGGCCATACTCTCTCGCTCTCTCTCCAGATACACTGTTTGGAAGCCCTCACTTTCCAGAACAGATGCATTAGAGCAAATTAAGAATGTAAGGCAAATGTTTGTAACATGCGGCCTATTTTGTCAGAAAGTTTTACTATACAACTAAACATTTCTATCATAATAGTCTGAGTTAGTTTCGAATTTTAAGAACAAGTTATGATGATAACTGACTTTGGCAGACCAGAAAACATTGTCTTTAAGGAGACAAAGGGGAAAACTTCACTCTCGTGGGGCTGAGCTAGACATAAGGGACAGGAGAAGTCCGAATTTAGGGAGCACAGATGGCAAGGCAAGAAAAATCCTAGGGGATAGTACTGGGGCTCCAAGGGAGTGACACCAGGGACTTCAATTCCTTTCATTCATCAAATGTTAACTGAACACAGTTGGTGAGAAATCAGAGTCCTGATTGGAAGTGAGGTCATGGCAGGTCCTTGCTCTGAAAATATAATCCTGGTCTCCATTTCCCTCCATGGAGTGGCTCAAAACCTTGCAGAAGCCCTGGGCCCCAGTCAGAGCCCACCTGAGTGACATCCTGGCTTGTCCACCCCATCACTGAATGTAGCACTGCTCAGGTTAGCCACAGTCAGGTTGTCCTGCTGTCCAGAGGAATGACCCTTGCTCTAGCCTACCAGGATGAATTTTTGCAGGTGAGAGAAGAGCGTACCATGTATCCACCATGGCCCGCCTTTCCTAGAGTGATGAGCAAAATGTGGATCCAAGCTGCAACCTGGATACTCCCCTGTCCAATACACTTTTGGGGAGCCCTGTCTCATAATGTTATTCTAGGTGCCTGTGTCCGATGGATGTCTGAGGGACACATGTGTTTGGACTGGCCCCTGTGAGTTTTGCTGTGTGTGAGCATGTGCAGGTGACAGAGGGATGGGCTTACCAGCATCACTCGGACAGATTCGGCCATGAGACCCACGTAGGGCTTAAGGATGTTATAGTGGAAGGCTGGGGTCAGCATCCGCCGGTGCTGGAACCACGTCTGCCCATTCAACAGGAGCAAACCATACCCTTGGCCACAGATGAGTGTGTGGGGGTGGGAAATAGCATAAGAGCAAGGGCTGGGACAACTTGGGAGGAACCAAAGGTATCAGAAGAAGGCCCATCATCGACAAAGGCAGGAAAGTCTAGTATATTACAGGAATGAGGATTTCCCCAAATGGCTGGCACATAGGAAGTGATTATGAAAGCCGTGAGATAAAGGTTGGAAAAAAGTAGGTGGCATGTCAGAGAAGGACTTCAGTAAAAGTCGGGCTGAGACCATGGTGAAGACTGAGAAGTGATGTGGAGGAAGCTGAGCTTTGGGAGAGCTCTCACCACCATTAGGAAGGGGGAGGGTCTTGTTACAAGAAGAGAAATGAGGCTTGATCCAGAGATGAGGGTCATGACCTGGTGGCCAGGCATCTGTTGTTCTCCGTGAGCACAATAGAGAGCTCTTGGCAAACCGAGCTGGCAGGTGGACCGCAGTCCTAGTTAGATGTACTTACCAATCCAGGGAGCTAGGAATCTTTAGGTACCAAGAGACTTTGGGTCTGAAAGGTAAGGAAGGACATTATAGGAAGCTGCAGGGGACCAAACAACACTGGCAGCTCTCAGGAGCCTGCTTTAGTCCAGACCATGGGCTGCCACCATTCCTGATGATTATCAACTGCCAGTTTATCTTAACCACTGCCCATCTGCTTCCCCTCCTTGACTCTCTGTCCTGATAGTCACTGTGGGCTCAGGAAGACAGACTCAGTGTCCCAGCAGCAAGGCACCCACAGGACTAGAATGTTGAATCTGCAAGAAACACTAACTCTGTCCTCAGTGCCAAAGAAAATACAGAAGACCGATTTTCTTGCAATTGGTGGTGGCTTAGCCATCCCATGAGCCAGGACAGGCAACAGTTAGAGATGCCAAACCCAAGTCAGTGTGCAAAGGAAATTGTCTTTCGTTCTGAGGCAATTTACATAACAGATCATCTCCATTTGGTTAAAAAGGAAAGAAAGAAAGAAAAGAAATAAGAAATTCAGCCCCACACAGCTCCCTAAGCCTTCAGTTTATGTAAACAGTGTTGGCCTTAGGCTGGCTTCTGGCTGGAGGGTAGTTGGAAGAGGGTCAGGCATTGATGGCTGAACTGCCAGTCTCTTCTGGAATTTCACAGACCCAGGAGCATGGACACAAGAGGGAAGAGCTGCCCCAGCTGGGGTGTGGGTTTTGCTCTCACCTGATCTCCCCAGGATCACCTTCATGTAGTCAGGGTCATAGACCGTGAAGAGAACCTTGCTTCCCCATAACCAGCAAAGAGAGGCACGCGGGAATTTCTCTACCCTTTTCAGAAGCTCTGGTAGTTCTTGGCCCTTTTGGAACTGTCACCAAGGGAAACACAAACCAATAAAATCTTTCTCTTTAGGTCCAGTGCTTGGAGTGGTGGTGAAGAGCAGGACGGCAACACAGAGATATTTCTGGATGTATCAGCAGTGATTAGGAGTTTGGAACCATTTCTGATGAACTGAGCTCTGATCAGGTTTCTTGTTCTCTCACCAAGACTTGGCCTAAGGCCTGATTCTGGCTTCTGGTTGGGCCATCTCTGGGCCCTCACTCAGAACTGCCTCGAGAAACTTACCCAGAGCAGTTGCTTGATAAATGCCCAATAACGCACTCCATGGTGTACAAAACTTTGCACAGACTTATATTAGAGCTATTGGTTGAGTTGTGACCCCTTCAAATTCATGAGTTGAAGTCCTAACTTCCAGTATCTCAGAATATGACTTTATTTGGAGATAGGATCTTTACAGGGTAATCTAGTTGAAGTGAGGTCATTAGGCTCAGCCTTTATGCAATATGACTGGTGGCTTTATAAAAAAGGGGAAATTGGGACACAGAGACAGTCAATCATCAAGAGAAGATGATGTGAATAGATGTGGAGAAGATACTAATTTACTAGCCAAGGAGAGAGCCTGCAACAGATGCCTTCCTCACAGCCTGCAGAAGGAACCAACTGTACCAATATCTCGGTTTGGACATCTAATCTCCAGAACTGTAAGACATTAATTTCTGTTGTTTTATCCACCCAGTTCTCTGTAGTTTGTTATGGCAGCCCTAGGAAACTAGAACAATTATGTACTGCTCAGGGCAAACTTGTGTCCAGTGATCCTGTGTCACTGAAGAAAGAGGAAACCCATGTTGAAGGACATGCCATGGAGCTGCATTGCAACCCAAGCCTACCGACCCCAAGGTGTCCTTACCCCTGATTGCTAAGGCTCCCTGGATGTCTTTATTATCATATTCCAACTCAGTGTTCTCATCTATGTGTACCATGTTGGCAAACTTACCTTTAATACCTGTGATCTCTGCTTTCTTAGAGCCAGCATAGAGCACAGTTCATAGGAATTATGCCTTATATTTCAAAGAAGGAATTAGTGCATGAAGGATTGAATGAGTACATGTAGGATAGTGATTGAGTGAGTCTTGATTAAAATTCTTGTTGCAAGTGACAGAATAGTCTTGAGCTAATGTAAGACAAAGAAAAAGGACAACAAAGAAGGCTGAGGACCCAGGGATGTCTTAGGGAGCCCAAGGGTAAGGGTCAGCCACTGTGGAAGGGGCAGATCCAGGGACTGGAGAGCTGCCAGGACTGAGTCTCTCATTCTTTCTCTCTGTACACGCATGCATTCATTCTCTCAGCAAATGTTTATGGAGGCTCTACCTTGTCCTAGACACATTTCATCAAGCTGGTGATACAGCCACAAATAAACACACAATTGTCCCTGTCCTGTGGATCTGGATCCCTGTGGTGGAGAAGGGCAGTTCTATCCTTCTGCGGTTGGGACTTTACCATTCTACCACATGTCGTGTCTGAGTGGCCCTGGGAATCCTATTCTGAGAATCTGATTGTAATATCACGGCTGAGGGGTCCACTTCCTGCAATCAACTGTGCCTGGGGTTTAATAGTGCTTTCATGGGCACATCTTTTGTGGGGAAAGAGATCACAGAGTAGGTGAGCCGAGCAGACATCCCCAAATGTTTCCACTACAGTGAATGAAAAAATACATGAATGAGTAGGTGAGTAAATGGATTCTCTCATTCATTTATTTGATAACAGTGTATGGAGAACTTACTTTGGGTCAATTGCTGTCCTCATTGCTAGAGATTCAACAGTGAACAACTCAAGTCCCTGCTACCATGGAGCTTATGTTCTAGTGGGGGTGGGGGTGGGGCAGACAATCCTGCCCTTAACTGAGAAGCATCTTGTTGAATGACTTCGGAAGGCCTCTCTGTGGTCCAGGTCATGTCCATCATTGGCGCTGCCCTTCTCCTTGGATGCAGTACAGGGACTGACCAGTGGGAGCCTCTTACTACCCCAGCTATGTTACCTGGTCCTCTAGGATCCCCTCATACTGACCCAGAAGAGACCTGGGGATACTTTTCAGCACAGCAGCATGCCTTCTTTCTGATTGCTTGGTGCTCAAGCCAGTAAGCCTCCTGGAAACCCTGCTTGTGGGCACTGTCACAAGCTCACTTAGGGGACACCAAGGAGCTAAACTGTTTTCTGCCTATCCATTCTCCTCTCGGGGCCAGTCTGGAGCCCACTGATCTGTCAGCCCTCTTGTCAATAGCTGGGGCTGCCATCCGTCCCTGAGCAGGTCTGGCCAGAGCCAGTCGAGACTCTTATAGAGGAGATCGTGCCCATGGTGGCAGTGGTGGTAACCCTGTAGGTAAATACTTGTGTCCATCTGGGCTCCAGGATGGGGCCACTCAGGGCAGGTGGTGTTCCACTTGAGCTGTCCTCACCTGCCTGCTCCTGGGAACTGGAGCCACAGAGGAATTTCCCCAAAGGGAGGTGCAAGGAGAGTAGGTAGACGGGAAATAATGAGGCCACACAGGCCATCACCAGGAAGGAGGACTCAGGGAAAGATGGAGCTCATTGGGGCTATTTGGATCGTAAAGTTGTGAGTCTCTTCTTCATAGTTCCCGCTGGATTTTGCCCCTATTTAACGCAGTGAGTTTGTGAAGGCTACAAAATGCTTTCCCTTCACAGGCATTGATATTATTTAAAATCATACAAATTAGAGTGACTGTAACGGTGGCCCTTGTTGGTGCCAGGTCCCATTTCAAGATTATAGGAACTCACATGAGTGCTATCAGTATCATCATCACCCCCAATTTACAGATGAGGAAACCGAGACATAGAGCGGGTATTCAAAGTATGTAGCAGAGCTGCGATGTGAATCTAGGTGGTTTGAAAAAAGAGCCCATATGTTGAACTGCCTCAACTTGTCACTTGACATCTGGCCTGAAAGATTAGTTTCAACCAAATTACATGTGGCATTCTAATTCCTGACTCAGCAATAACAGAGGTATTGAATAAACGGAAATCTCAGACAGATTTATAAGAGCAAGAAAACTTGGCTGCAATATCTGTCAGGCCAGCAGAAAGTGAGAGGTGATTCAGCAGCAGGAGGGTGCCATCCGTGTCCTGCAAAAGTCACTGGAAGAATTTTTAGCGGCCTCTTATCTGAAATCCTAGCTCAGAAATGTGACAACTGCATCAACAAAAGGTCACAATTTCTCCAATTTAAGAAGTCATCTGGAGTCATCAGTTCAACAATTTGCATGAACAGACTGTGCTCTGGCTGTCTCTCTGTGGCTGATATAATAGTTCTTGTCTTGGCTCCCCTCTGCTGATCATCGCTTGGTCTCCTTCCCTGAGGAGAAAGAAACCTCAGCTCTCTATAACACCCCACCTCCTAAGGCTTGTTCAGTCCACAAACCCTTGGTAAGCCCCTCACCTGGAGACCCGTAACCTTGCTCTGCACCCTCTCCCCTCAGGGATCAGTGCTAACAGAGCTGCCTGGGGAGGCACTGTCTCTCACCCATCCTGCAGGCTGCTCCATCCTCTGTCTCTCCACACACCTGGGTTGAACATCCCTATGTGTCAGGCTCTGTGCTGGGTACCGGGGCACAGGAAGGGGGACGACATCCTCAACCCCAAGGAGCTCACAGTACAGGGGTTTGAGGATGAGAGCTTGGAGGCAAACAGACTCTGTTTAGTGGTACCACTCAACTGTCAGTACTCCTTACCTGGAACCATCGTGGAACCCTCCTCGCTCACATGTTCCAGTGACTTGCCAAGATTTTAGCACTGAAATCACCAGTCTGGAAAATCCCTCAGTCTCAGGCACATCGAGCTTGTTGGCCCCTTACACCTGACATGACCCCCCAGATCAGCAGGTGAGCCTTTCTTCCTGGGACATGACACTTTCTTAGATTCCTGTCTGTCCTCTCCACAGACAGTGAACCCCACAGGGCAGGGACCCATAGAGTGACGTCTGTGTCCCCAGACAAGCTCAGGGCCAAGCAGAGAGGTTGGAGTTGAGTGACTGGGGGAGAGAAACATCTAGAAGCCTGTTCTTTGAGAATAGCTGAGGTTGCTCAGCCTGGTAAGAGGAGAGATTCAGGAACAGTCATTTTCCTAAAGTGCAGGGCTGTCAGGTCAGCCTGCAGATCTACCTAAGGAAGGGGTGTCTGACAGACCTGAGAATACCAGCACAGGCTCCCTGTGAGGGAGTGAGCTCCCTGGACTGGGATGAGGAGCAGAGACCTGAGAGGGAAACTGGGTTTTCCCAGGGGACACATGCTCATCACACAACATGGCTTTGTCAGATGGATGTGCAGACCAGGCTCTCAGAGCCCTGGCCCTCTCCACCCTCCCACGCCCTCCTTCCTACCTCCCGGCTGTGCCCGTAGAGCCAGTGGGAAGGAGGGCACGGGAACTCCTGGAAGGCTTTGAGCAGCCACTGTCTGCGCAGGTAGAGCTGGGCAGCCTTGAGCAGCAGCAGATCCAGGCCGAGCAGGGAGGTCACTTCCAGGAGCCCAGAAACACTGCCCAGGGGTCTGGGGGGCCTAAGCCCAGAGACACTCATGGTGCAGAGGTTTGTGGAGTCCTGACTTGCCTGACTGTTGCTGACCTCCTCTGCGCACCCCAGCCCAAGTCAGTCAGGAGAAAATTGTCCCACCCACCTGTGGTGAGGGTGAAGGGTGAGGTCAGAGCTTAGACCTGGGCCACCGTTGTTGATTAACTATGGAGGATCCATCTTGGGAAACTGGGAGAAAAGCTTTCTCAGCTGACGGTGATAATGGCTCAGTACATATCAACATTCCACTCATCAGTTTCCTACACAAACACTTAATGTTCACCTACTATGTGCCAGGCAGGACAGTAGGTGCTGGGACACAGCTGCAATCAAAAACAGACCAACTCTGACTTCAAAGAATCCACGCTCAAATTTACAAATGTGCCAGCACCTTGTCAGGGTTTTAGTACTGAAATCACCAGTCTAGAAAATCCCTCAGTTCAGTAGGTGTGGTTGGTTTGTTTATGATCCCCATTTCAGAGATGAAAACTAGTTACAGAGAGGCAAAATGATGGGGCTGCAGGAAAACAGTCAGGCAGAGCCCCAGCTGGGACTAGAACACTTCTCTGTTGGACTTCAAAGTGGCCTGTCTCTGTTGACTGCAGTTTTCCCCGGCATTTGTCCCACTCCACTCCTCAGTGGTGACCCAGGGCAACTGTGCCAGTGGATAGAGCACTGGCCTTGGACTCAGGAGGCTCAGCCCCAGGTTAGGCTCACTATGTGGAAGGCAGCAACTTAAACTCTCTGGGCCTCAGTTTCTCCTTTTGTTTGGGGGGATAATAATCCCATTCCTAAGTACATCCCAGGAGTGCTCATGTGTTCATTCATTCATTCATTCACTCAGCAAATATTCTTTGAACAAACAGTCTAGGTAAAGGCAGAAAACTAACTTAGAACAATAAAATATGCAAGGCCTACACTAGAGGAAAGAATAGTGAACTGAGGCCACGCAGGGAAGGGAAAACTGAAAAACAGGAATGGGTTCTTGACAGATGTATAGGAGTTCATTAAGTGCAGAGTGTTAGAGAGAGAGCTGAGAACTGAAAAAGTCATGGAGATCATATGTAAAAGAGCAAGGGATGGGGACAAGTTAATCTTCAAGTCTCTCACCCTCATGTTTTTCCAGATTACCAAGTTCAAGGTCACATTCAAGGCCCATAATTCAGAAGGTAAAACACAATATATTTCAGGAAGAATTCCTTGAAGGCAGCCTTGCAAGTGGCCATTTCCTCCTGACCTGCTCCCTCACCCATCTAACCTCTTACTCCCAACACCCTATTCCTTTTCCCTGCCTCATGACAGGTTATTCATCACACAATCCATGGGGCCAGAGTTCTTTTCTTTCTCCCCTAGGTCCAAGGCTCCTGTCCAAAACCCAGGCCACGTAAACAATTACATCCATTCCTGTCACTCTTCCCCTAGTTCTGTGGTTACTTTCCCTCCCTACCCCTACCCCAGCCACAGGGACTCTTGGACCCTGGCTCTTTCCCTACTTGATTCAGCATGAGCTTTTCACCCACAGCACATGGGGCAGTAGTGGAGAGAGCTTTGGAGTTAGAGAGCCTGGCTCTGAATTCTGGTTGTAACTCTTTCTTTCCCTCCCTGATTTCTCAGTTTCTTCTGTATATTTGGGCTCATAAAAGTTGGTAGAAGGTAACAATCAGAGGGCACTTGCTGTATTCAAGGCACTGAGCAAAGAACTTTATATGTTTTCTCCCACAACAATGCTACACAACAGGTTTTTAAAAAATCCCCAAATCTGGGTGAGGAAGCAGAGGCCCAAAGAGGTTTGCTGCTCGCCCAGGGTCTTACAAGAAGTGGAGCCAGGATTCCGGGCAGTCTGACTCCAAAGACTTTGCTGTTAACTGTTAACGTAGAGAGATGGTTGTTGGGTTGAGCCTCCAGTCCATACATGGCGGCGCCTGAACTTTCCAGGGGGCGTTTCCTGTTTGCTCTGTTTTATCCAGTGTTTCCAAGCAGCAGGAGAGTGTTTCAGGTTGTCAGCTCCACATAGAGCCTTAAATGCGAGCCTCACTATCCAGGGCTGTTGTGAGAAAGCGTCAGGTAGACCATGTGGCTAGATGTAACAGTCATTGAAGATGGTGTTTATAGAGAATTTTTACCGATATGAGGAAAGCTTATAACAAAGTGATCAAAGCAGAATGTGCAACTATGTGTAGAGTATGAGCTGAACTCTTAGAAAGTTGTGCTGGCCGTGGTCAACAGTTATTAACCAGTAAGTATTTTCCCCATTCATTTGCAGTCTACACACCCAAACCAAGGACTCCTTGCAGGTGGTAACTAGACCTTTTTTGCCCTTATGCTCCCACAGCATGGAACCCAGGACTGTGCCTACTGACGGTGCCAAGAAATACTGATCTGATGACTGAAGGAAGGAGGGAATGAGGAAGACTTTGGACTGGTTAGATCACCATCTCCAACAGACCAAGGTCAGTTTTAATGCCACATTTTAAAGGAAATTAATATCCTTAGTGCTGGAAGGTTCTTGGTTCAATTTATAGGCAACAGAAAGGCAGAGGAGGGGGGCAGTCAACCCCCAAAGCGGCAGCTTGAAGCAATTACTCCTGTGGGTAGATCACCCCAGGCACTTTTCTGGGTTTGGTAAAGTTCAATTTGATGCTGACACAATTCATCACACTTTGTTTACTTTTACTCCTCTACGTGGACTGGCTCTTCCAGGTAGAAGCCCTTTAAAAAGAAACAGCCTATCGAGATAGAGTTTATATAGCACTCAGTTCACCCATTTGCCATCAATGGTTTTTGGTATATTACATTCTTATTTTGTCTTTATTAGTAAAATATGCATAACACTAAATTCCCCACTTGAACCATTTTTAAGTATATAATCCAGTGGCATTAATTGCATTCACTTTTGTACAGCCGTCACAACTAACTGTTTCCAAAATTTTTGCATCACTGCCAATAGAATTTCTGTAACCATTAAGCATTAATTCCCATTTGGCCTTCCCACAGTCTCTGGTAATCTCTAGTCTACTTTCTGTCTCTATGAATTTGCCCGTTCTAAGTCCCACATATAAGTGGAACCATATACTACTTTTCCTTTTGTGTCTGGCTTCTTTCACTTAGCACGATGTTTTCAAGTTTCATCCATGCTGTAGCATGTACCAGAACTTCATTCCTTTTTGTGACTGAACAATATGCTACTGTGTGTATGTACATTTTGTGTACCTATTCACCTATTGATGGTCACTTGGGTTCTTTGTACCTTTTGTCTATTGTGAGTATGGCGCAATGAATATTGCCCTCCAACTATCTGTTTGAGACCTTGCTTTGAATCCCTCTGGGTATATACCTAGAGCAAAATTACTGGATCACATGCTAATTCTGTTTAGCTTTTTAAGAAACTGCCACACTGTTTTCTATAGTGACCACACAATTTGACATTCACCAGTAATGCAGAAGAGTCCCAATTTCTTCACATTCTGACCAAAATTTGTTATTTTCCATTTGTTTTTTTGGTAAAAAAAATAAAGCCATCCTAAAGGATGTGAAGCGGTACCTCATTGTGGTTTTAATTTGTTTCCCTAATGACAAATGATGTTAAGCGTCTTTTCCTGTGCTTTTTCCATTTGCATATCTTCTTAGGAGATATGTCTATTGAAGTCCCTTTCCAATATTTGAATGGGTCATTGATTTTCTGTTGTTGAACTGTAGGAGTTCTTTTTTATTCTGATATGACTTGCAAAGATTTTCTGGCATTCTGTGAGCTGTCTTTCAACTCTTTGATCAATTTTATGCTCCTTTTTGTATATGATGTAAGGCAAGGGTCCAACTTCATCCTTCTGCATGTGAATATCCAGTTTTCCCAAATTGTTGAAAAAACCATCTTTTCCTCATTGAATTTGTCATGGAACCCATATTGAATATCAATTGACCATATACCTGAGGGCTTATTTCTGGGTCCTCCATTTTTCCTTTTGTCTGTATGTCTATCATTATGCCAGTATCACAGTAGTTTGATTACAGTAGCTTTGTAGTAAGTTTTGAAATCAGAAAGTATGAGTCCTCCAACTTTGTTCTTCTTTTTCAAGTTAGTTTTGGCTCTTTGGAGTCTCTTGAGATTCCATGTAAATTTTGAGATGGAGTTTTCTATTTCCGTAAAAAACATCATTGGAGTTTTGATAGGGATCATATTGAATCTGTTGATCACTTTTGGTTATCTTGTCATCTTAATGATTTTAAGTGTTTCAATCCCTTAACATAGGATATCTTTCCACTTATTTGTGTCTCCTTTAATTTCTTTCAGCAATGTTTTATGGTTTTCAGTGGACAAATCTGTCACCTCTTTGGTTAAATTTATTCATATATTTTTTTTATTACTTTTGATGCTGTTGCAGATCATGTTGCCAGTATATGGAAATAAAACTGATCTTTGTGTGTTGGTTTTATATCCTGCAATTTTACTGAATTTGTTTATTAGCTACAAAATTTCTTGCTGATCCTTTAGGGTTTTCTATACGTAAGATCATATTATCTGCAACCACAGATAATTTTACTTCTTCCTTTCCAATTTGGATGCTTTAAATTTCTTTTTCTTGCCTAATTTCTCTGGCTAGAACTTCCAGTACTATATTGAACGGAAATGGTGAAAGCACAGCATCCTTGTTTTTCCTGATTCTGATAGAAAATCTTTCAGTTTTTCACAAATGAGTATATTGTTAATGTGGGTTTTTCATAAAAAGCCTTTAGCATTTTGAGGAAGTTCCCATCACCTCCTAGTTTTTTGAGTGTTTTTATCATGAAAGACTGTTGAGTTTTGTGAAATATGTTTTCTGCATCAATTGAGATGATCCTGTGGGTTTTTTCCCCTTCATTGGATCATTGTGGTGTATTACATTTATTGATTTTTGTATCTTGAACCACACTTGCATTCTAGGAATAAGTCCCACTTGGTCAAGAAGTATAATCCTCTTTATATGCTGCTGAATTTGGTTTGCTAGTATTTTGTCAAGGATTTTTGCATCTATATTCATAAGGAATATATTGCCCTGTAGCTTTCTTTCCTTGTGGTGTCTTTGTTTGGTGTTGGTATCAATGTAATGTTGGCTTCATGGAATAAGTCAGGAAGTGTTCCTTCTTCTCTAACTTTTTTGAAGTGTTGAAGAAGGATTAAATATTTGATACAATTGACCACTGAAGCCATCTGGCCTTGACTTTTCATATTTGGGAAGTTTTTGGTTACTTATTCAATCTTATTACTAGTTTCAGCTGTATTCAGATTTTCTTTTTCTTCTTAAGTCGGCCTAGTAGATTGTGTTTCTAGGAATTTGTCAATTTCATCTACATTATCTAATTTTTTTAGTATACAACTCTTCATTGTATTCTCGTATAATCCTTTTTAATTCTGAAAAGTCAGTTGTAGTGTCCTCGCTTTCCTTTCTGATTTTGTAACATGAGTTCTCTCTCTATTTTTTAAATGAATGTAGCTAATTTTGTCAGCTTGTTTTTCCAAAGAGCCAAGTTTTTGTTTTGTTGATTTTTCTCTTTTGCCTTTTTATTCTCTATTTTATTTATCTCCACTGTAATCTTCCTTCTTTATTTCCTTCTGTTACCTTTGAGTTTAGCTTTTTTTAATTCTTAAAGTATACAGTTAGGTTATTGATTTGAGGTCTTTCTTCTTTTTTAATGTATGTGATTATCATAATTTTCCCTCCTATCACTGTTTTCCCTGCATCTCATAAGTTTTGACATATTGTGTTTTTGTTTTCATTTGTCTCAAAGTATTTTCTTCTTTCTCTTGTGATTTCTTTTTTCTTTTACTTTCAACAGCTTTGGGTCCTTATATCTAAAGTATGTCTCTTCTAGACAGCATATAATTGGATCCAGTTTTTAAAAAATACCTAATTTGCCAATCTCTGTCTTTTAGTTGAAGAGACTAATCCATCTATATTTAATGTGATTACTTATAAAGAAGGACTTCTCCCATTTAGCTGTTTGTTTTTTCTGTGTCTCATGTTTTGTGTTTCTCATTTTCTCCATAAGTGCCTTTGTTGTATTTAGCTCATTTTTTGGAGTGTGCCTCTTTGATTCCCTTCATCTTCCCTTTATGTATATTTTTAAGTTATTTTCTTAGTGGTTTTCTTGGGGCCTACAATTAATATCTAAAACTTATACCAAAATATCATTTGAATAATACTAACTTAACTTTAATAGTATATAAACATTGTGCCCCTATACATCTCTATCCCATCTCATTTATGTGATTATTTTCACAGATATCTTTATTATTCTATGCCCATTAAATTAGATATATAATATTAAGAAGTTTTCCTCTTAAATTAAAAAGGAAAGAAAGAGAAATTGAAAACCAATAGAAAAGTACATTAATACCAGCTTTTATGTTTACCTATGAAGTTATCATTACTGAATTCTTTAAACAAATGTTTTATGTCTTCAAGTTAATGTCTAGTGTCCTTTTATTTGAGACTGAATGACTCTTTTTAGAGTTTCATGTATGGCAGGTGCACTGGTAATAAATTCCCTCAGCTTTTGTTTACCTTGAAATGTCTTAATTTCTTCTTCATTCTTGAAGATTAATTTTGCCAGATATGAAATTCTTGGTTGATATTTTTTAAGGACCTTAAATACGTCATCCCACTGCGTTCTGGCCTTCATGGTTTCTGATGAGAAATCAACTGTTAATCTCATTGAGGATTCCTTGTATGTGATGTCACTTCCCTCTTGCTGCTTTCAAAATTCTCTGTCTTTGGATTTTTATAATTTGACTATAGTATGTGTCAGTGTAGACTCTTTCAGTTTATCCTTCTTGGAGTTAATTGAGATTCTTGGATGTGTATATTCATATATTTCATCAGATTTGGGAAGTTTGGGGCATTATTTCTTCAAATACATTTTCTGCCTCTTTATCTCTCTCTTTCTTCTCCTTCTGAAATTCCTATAATGCACATGTTGGTATGTTTGATGGTTCTTATAGATCTCAGGCTCTTTTTATTTTCATTCATTTTTATTTCTGCTGCTCAGACTAGATAATTTCAAATGTCTTATCTAAAATCTCACTTACTGTTTCTTCTACCTGATTATATCTGCTGTTGAATCCCTTCAGTGGGTTTTTCTTTTAAGTTGTACTTTTCAGCGACAGGATTTCTGTTTGCTTCCTTTTTTATAGTTTCTGTCTTTTTATTGATATTTTCATTGTGCTCAGACATCATTTTCCTCATTTCTTGTAGGTCTTTGTCCACAGTTTCCTTTAGCTCACTGAACATATTTAAGACAGTTGATTAACATCTTTGACTAATAATTCCAATGTCTGGGCTTCCTCATAGATGGTTCTGTCATATTCTTTATTTAGTGCGAGTGGACGATGTTTTCCTGTTTCTTTGCACATTATGCCAGTTTTTGTTAAGAACTGGACATGCTTATTATTATGTTTCAGTAACTTAGAAGTCTA